CATATCCTTCACCGTACTATGCTTTGAACCTCGGAGATTTGGCGTGCGCCTTACATAACACAACTATTAGGCGAACGTGGCCATGCACTGAACGACGATTATGTCGATTAACTGACTCACCTCTACTGTAAGGAATTCCCCAATCGGGTGGTGGCACAAACAATTGAAAACTCCTGGATTAGTCGTGTGTTGATAGAATTCTTAGTCGCGTCACACTCGTTTGAACAGTCATGAAATGTTTTTATGCTTTGCCGATGTCACTCTAGCCACGTTTTTTATTACGTTTCAATCACTAAGGTGCGGTTTCCGGCTACCAGGCCCGTTCATCGAAAGTGTTCTTTTTCGTGCGCTTTTATCACTAGGGTTGAACCATCCCCACCGACGTCCGAGGAGTAATGCGATCCTGACTATGGATCGAAAGAAAATCTGTAGCTCGTGTATGACGCAGAAGCAGCTTTCGAAACTAAAGAACTTGATTCGCAAGCTGCCCAAATATAGCAAATGGTCTTAAACTGCACATAAGACGTTCTTGACACCGGAGCGGCTGCACTGCAACCAGGAACTCTTTAGTATGGGAATATCACGCGTTGCATTCAAATTAGCGAAACAATCCCACTATGAGGAAATCAAAACTGCAAAGATAGATAGCATCACCTAGAAAAACTCAAGCCGTAAATTGAACAATGAAAATAAACTTTGGATTTTCTCACGAAGAATCATACGTTTCCAAATTTCACCGCAGAGTAGTGTCTATCGCCTTCTCAGCATAGAATGGTTTCATATACAGGATGAAATCCCGAATCTACCCACACTCTTACCACGGTGGCTTTTGCGAGCAAGCAACATCTATGGTGTAGCTGTTACCTTTGATGATCCACCAATAGTCACGATTAAAAATACCGCATTGCTATGAATGTACAAATTCGGCTATGGTGAGCTGGTAACCGGTGTCGTCGGAGCATTCTCCGCGTCTGGTGGAGACATCGGAATACGCCGGAAGGCTTTTGGGGAGGACACACTTACGAAATACGGGCCAGTGCGGGTCCATAGAATGCGCATACTTACTCCAGTGCTTCGAGGGCTTGCTTGTGACCGAATTTCTCGAAAAGTCTTTTTAGCACAAACATGAGGGTGGAAACGAGTCAAAGGAAATATAGTCACGGCTTAGCATAGTCATAGCTTAGCCTGGTATTAAAAGTTATTTCCAGCAAACTCAGTTGGATTAGTAGCCGCCCCTCCCTGGATAGAAACTCTGAAGTAGCGAATAGCAATGCCAAACAGGACTCAGTGACGCACCCAGTGACGTTCACATACCCACAATATCGACAGTT